AGAGAGAGAGAGAGAGAGAGAGAGAGAGAGAGAGAGAGAGAGAGAGAGAGAGAGAGAGAGAGAGAGAGAGAGAGAAACCATTTCTTCAGATTGTTTCTGCGCACGAGGGTTTGTGTAGACAGGAGAGGGTATTGAACCGTTGATCTCAGGTTTGAAACGGTGAATCTCAATCTGCATAGTAAAGTGATGTTGGATGTCACAACCGTGTGTAACAGTCGCTTTCGCTCCTAACAGACGGGTGTGTTTTCTCGGTCACCGTTTTCCTTCTTATTCTCTCCTTCTCCCCTCTCTCTCTTCTCATCTTTCTCCTTTTCTGTCTTATGCTCTCCCGAGTCCTTGTGCTCTTTCGTCTTGTGCTTATTCCCGTGCTGTGCCTCCACTGGTCTCCAGGTGTCAATTTGTCCCTCCACGTGTCACCCTGCTAGCCATTGATAACCCTTCCTCCCTCCTTTTCCAATGAGGAGGAGGAAAGTAACCTAGAGGACTCATCAATGGGGTCTGGAGGGAACAGCAGGAGGAGGAGGAGGGAGAGGGAGAGGGAGAGGGTAAGGAGGATGAGGATGGCCAAGGTGTGTTGGGGATGATGAATTAGTGCCTCTGTCAGAACAGTCTGTGGACTGAACGATGGCGGCAGTGCTGGATGCCGTTATCGTGTTGCCACGTGGTCAGCGGTCCATTATCTGTTGTCCATTTGAAGAGTGAGTTTGTCTCTCCCTCTTTTCTCCACCCGCTCCACCCTCTCCCTCTCTTCTCTGCTACGCCCTCTCTCTCCCTCTCTCTTTCTCCCTCCCTTTTCTCCCATTCTCTCCCTCCTCTCTCTGTGCCGCTGCCCTCAGGCGGCCCTTCACAATGGTTTGTCCGACCCCTTAACATATACCAATGCACGTCGTTTGACACCCCACGGACTAATCCAGAAAGCAGTATCCCTTACGCAGCCATCTCGTGTAAGATCTTCTTTGTACACTGTTCTTTCTTCTTGCTCCGGCCTATCATTCCACTTCTTCTTCTTCTTCTTCTTCTTCTTCTTCTTCTTCTTCTTCTTCTTCTACCAGCACCGTTGGTAGCAACCGAGCGAGCAAGGACGACCGGGGCCACTGGAAGAGTACAGGAGGAAGAAGAAATAGGGAGATGGCGGCCATGGCCTCCGAACCGCAGCTGGATGAGCGGGCAAGGAGAGTGCGCAATCTCTTAAGCAGCTATTATGGACCAACGGATGAGGATGGATCTGACGTCCCCGGGCGGGAAGGAGGAATAGGCAGTCCGGCTAGGTTTGCGAATGCCTCAGCGAACATCAATCGAAAAGGTTTTGATGCGGACCGGTACTTGTCGACTCTGCTTCGCGAAGCGCGTCTCGAAGGCCTCTTGGGCCGTCATCTGGAGATGGCGGCGGAGATCCGGACGCTGGACAGCGACATGCAGATGCTTGTGTACGAGAACTATAACAAGTTCATCAGTGCCACAGACACCATCCGGAGGATGAAGGAGAACGTAGGAGGCATGGAGAGCAGCATGCGCTTGCTTCTGGACACTGTCACTGTCGTTCGATCAAAAAGCGATGACGTCAACGCTTCGTTGTCGGAGAGGCGTGAGCGGATTGAGAAGCTGAACGGGACTCGCAGCTTGCTTCGCAAAGTGCAGTACGTGTTCGACCTACCGAAGAGATTACAGAGCTGTGTGGATAGGGAGGACTACGTGGAAGCCGTGCGATGCTACGTCGGTGCTGGTCCTATATTGCGCAAGTACGGGGACACGTCCTTCCTGCAATGCAAGGAGGAGAGCGATTTGTTGATGGCGGATGTGACGAATCGCCTGCACGAGAGAGTGGTTAACGAGGGGGCTCCATCAGACGAGAGGAGAGAAGCGGTGCAGCTTCTCTCTCAGCTTAATTACCCAATAGATAATCTGCAAGATGGTTTTCTGGAGGATCACTGGGAGTGTTTGATGGACGAACTGAAGAAGACGGTGCCGATGTCGGCGGTGACGGAGCAAAAGCAGGCACGTTTAGTCGCTGATGGTGTAGGAGGAGGGGAAGGAGGAGGAGGAGGGGAAGGAGGAGGAGGAGGGGAAGGAGGAGGAGGAGGAGGGGAAGAGCACGGGATGGGAGGAGATGGTCATGACGTTAAAGATAGAGGAAAGGACGGTGGTGATACGTCTGTTGTTGAAGAGAAACAGCAGCAGGAGCAGCAATCACAGGCCGCGATGAATGAAGAAGAGGGAGGGCAATTTGTGAGCGAGTTCATCGTGATGGTGGACAAATTCCGGACCATCTTTCCTATGGGAGAGCAGCGGCTGATGACCATGGCAGGAAAAGTGTTTGACATATATTTCGGCCACGTTAGGAGCACTTTTCTGACTAAACAACGTCCTTCTCTTTCTTCTAGTGATAGCAGAGGTAGTGCTGCGGCTGCCGCTGCTGCTGTCGACCCTTGCATTCCTGTTTGGCCCTCTTTAACAGCGAGAAGTCTTTTGGCGGCGCTGAAGATGGCTTCCAGGGACGTGATGCTCATGCACGAGAAGGTGCCGGAAGCTAATTTGCGCGATCGCTGCGCTCAAGCCGTGTGCGATGGTGTGATGCAACACGTAGTAGAGTCGTTCAAGTTCCTGGAGCGGCGGGTTAACGCTGCCATTTTCCAGGCGACCATGAGTGGCTCTTCTGCTTCATCCCCCTTGCGTTCGAAATTGCAATCTGACGGTGGTGGCACTGCTTTGGCGGCGACAATTGGCGGAAAGGAGGAGAAAGCAGAGAGCGGAGAGAGCGGGGAGAGTGTCAGGGAGAGAGGAGGAAGAGGAGGCAACCCTCTTCTTGAATTGTTGAGAACGGTTGAGAAAACGCTCTTGGAGGGCAGCTTGGAGGTGCTCAAAGACCTCTCGCTCGTTGTTGAAGAGGGAGGTGATCTGATGGACACATGGCGGGACGAGTACATCGATCGAGTCCAGGGACATTTTCAGAGTCTCTTTGCGTCATTGAACGACAGCTTCTTAGGGCTTTGTGCAGCAGCAGGTGGCGCTCAGCCCTGCGTCGATCTGTCAATCCCTACTTCCGACTTAATTAGTCGACATGGCAGTCGCAGCAGCGACGTCTCAGTTGACAGGGCAGGAGCGGCAGAGGGAGGAAGAAGAGAATCAATCTCGGCGGAGGACGAAGTGCACTCGTCGTCATTGACGGCGGAAGGGGTTGTCGTTGGCGGATCAAAAGAGGGCGGGGGCAAGCTGTCAGTGGCGGGCAACACTCCGACGTGGCAGCTTCTTCTCCTGGCACGTGTCTGCGTGTTCATTCAGGAAAGTGCCGTGCCTAACATCACCGAAGTGTTGGCGCTATCCTTCTCTGGAGGGGGTGCAATGGGAGGGGAGGAGAGGCCAGCATTCGTCCCGGCGGAGGTGATCCGCGTGTTCCGCTCGACAGGAGAGAAGCTGCTACAGCAATATGTTGACGCGCAGGCACGAAAACTGACCTTGATGGTCAAGAAGAGTATCGCGACGCCTAATTGGCTGAAGGCGAAGGAGCCTAGGGATGTCCGAATGATTGCAGACCTTCTGCTGCAGGAGCTGGAGGCAGTAGAGGGTGAGGTGGCACAACTGCTCGAACGTGGGGACAAGTCTGAGGACACCTGGCCCACGGCGACCTCCTCTTCCTCCAATCCTCCCACTCATCAGCATTCGAAGTCAATGTCGCAGCTTCCGTCGGGATCGCATCGACGAACAAACAGCATGCCTCTACAGCTGCAGCACCAGCAAGTGCAGCAGCAGGTCAGTGCGAGCCGGGTTGGCAGCCCTCTTCTGACAGGTAGCCGGGGCGGTGGCGGCGGCGGGGGTGTAGTAGTAGGAGGGGGAGAGCAGATCGGGATGCCGTCACTACAGCACACTCGCAGCCGTCTTCTCGAGAGGGATGTGGCACGACTGTTCAAGGAGAGAGTTCAGCTGTTCACAAAGGTGCAGTTCACCCAGCTTTCTGTCATGGAATCGCTAGTCAAGGTTTGCATCAAGAGCTTCGCCGAATGCGTGAGATTAGAGACTTTTAGTCGTAGTGGGCATCAGCAGATACAGCTTGACACATATTATCTAAGGCCCCATCTAAGGGCATTAGCAGGGGAAGAAGAGGGGCCTGTGGTGGACATGTTGCTGGACGAGGTGTGCACGGCCGCGGGGGAGAGGTGTCTTGATCCCACTCCTCTGGAACCTGCGGTAATGGACCGTATCATTCAAACAAAGAAGAGCAGATATCTACCCCAGTCGCCGGCGATAGCAGGGGTAGCTTCGTGATTTGCTCGGATTCTTTCTTATTCCCTCTTTCGGGGCCTTCTCTGCTACCTGATGATGTGTTTGCCGCCAGACATGGCTATGGCGGCATTTGGCGCCACATTCGGCAGGTGTGGCGACCTTTGGCGCCACATCGCACGGGCTGTGGCGACGTTTGGCGCCACCTCTGACCAGTGTGGCGGCCTTCCCAGCACATTTGATGGGTGCGGTGGTCTTTGGTGCACCTCTGGTGCCACATCTGACGACTGTGGAGGCCTTTGGGGCCACATGTGGTGGCTATGGTGGCTCTTGGCGCGGCATAACTGATGGCTATGGCAATTAATGGCGCCGTGTCTGGAGGTTGTGGAGGCCTTTGGTGTCACCAGACCTGTAGGCTGTGGAGTTCTTTGGCGCCACCACACCTGTATGTGTTGCATGGAAATTGCTGCATATGCAGGTATTTTATCTCCCTCTGATGAGCCGTACGGTGGTAATCTGCGAAAAAACGTTTTAGGGGCGGCCACGCTCTTCCTGCAGCAGCTATGGCGACTTGCTTCTTACCAATCTGCGAAAAAACGTTTTAGGGGCGGCCACACCCTTCCTGCAGCAGCTATGGCAACTTGCTTCTTTCTTCCTGCCATACCATGTGCTTCGCCATTGAGCCTCCTTGTTTTTATGTCTGCAATGAAGTCGGCATTTCTCATTCGGATGCTGTTCCATGTGGAAGTCAGGACCTGGATACTTTGCAGTCGGTTTCGTTGTGATCTAGTCTTCCCCTCCCCCTCCCCCTGCTCCCCTTCTATTTTCGTCCGCCAGGATCTCCGTTCGTCATCTCCTCCTCTTATCTTTAGATACCCCCGTTCTCTGAGCCCTCTCCAAGCTCCCTTCTCACGATCATCCTCTCACGAGGGCCTGGATCACTGAATAAGTGGCCCTCACCTGTACGCCGCTAGGCAAAGTTCTCCATCCCTGTACCGCTGGATCTCTCTCTCTCTCTCTCTCTCTCTCTCTCTCTCTCTCTCTCTCTCTCTCTCTCTCTCTCTCTCTCATCTCCCACTAGGATCTCTCTCTCTCTCTCTCTCTCTCTCTCTCTCTCTCATACACACACATACACACACACACAAACGGGAGCCTGACAGTTATCTCTGGCAGTTTCGCACCTCGTGAGGACAAGTGTCCTCATGAGAATGCACAAAACAAAAACAAAGAAAACAAATAAAAGAAAAAGAAAAAGAAAATTAAACCGAACTGCACGCGCCTGACCCTTCTCTCAGCCAGGTTCATGTTGTTGCATGCAACAACCCTCCCACCTTTTACTCTGCCCTCCTCTGAAAACGGGGAGAGCAGTTGTCAAGTTGGGAGAAGTAGGACCTCCTCCTCCCAACTCCCACGTTCTCCCTCTCTCTCCAACCTCTCCAACCTCCCTCATCTTACCTTCTATCACGTGTCAACGTCGTCCGCGAGATCAGAAGATCTCAAGGCCGAGAATATTCAGCCTTAGACAGAGTGGGAACCATTTTGCTCCCACACAGCTGAAATGGCTGTTCTTCCCAACTTCGAGGCAACAGCCTCGTTTTTCCTCGTTTTCCTTTTCTCCCCCTTTTTTTTTTTTTTGCACAGTGTTGGATCGTGAGGGGCGCCCGTTGCCCCAACCAGCGTTTCCTTCCTCACCAATATGGGAATAACAAAATCTGAGGGGAAAAAAAAAAAAAAAAAAAACCTGAACCAAAAAGCGAACAGGTTGTCCGTCGAAATTGGGCGCCTGTAACCTCGCATGGAGGTTCCAACCTCTCAACTGCGCCACCTGAGACTGCAGCTCGTTGACTGTGCATATTTCCATGTTCTAACGTATGATTCATTCAGTTTTGCTCATCCTTTCAATGAAAGTTACATGAGGTCATTTTCAGGTAAGTCAGCATCTTCCCCCCTTCCCATTTTCGTCCCACACACACCCACACCCACACACACCAAGGTAGTTAGTGTATCGTCTCTGCGTCCTGGGGTATATTCATACAATTTTGCTCAACCTATCGATGGAAGTAGCATGAGGCAGCAGCTGGGTTGGAGACTTTTGCCTGTTCATTTTTTCGACGAACGGGCGTTTCCACAGCTCGTAGAAATGAGAAAAGGAAGGAATTAAAAAAAAAAATTATGAAAGAAATCTAAAAGAAATAATCTTAAAAAAACAAATCTAAGAACTAAAATATCAAAGAAAACAACTTACCTTACACAACAAAAATGGCTGCCCGTTTTCAACGAGCGCCTACTGTTCTTTCTGGGGACACTAGGTCACCTGCTACTTCTCCAAGCGCCATCTGGCGCTGTGTGCATTTTATTTTATTTAGTAATAACGTCGTTGGCATAAGCCAACGGCCACGGTTGCCAACGCTACGCCTTGATGGCGTTCCCCCCCTCTTCTTCCGTTATGCAGACCCGACTTCGATTCCCATCGGGGAATCGAAAAAATATGGACCATTTCTCGATTTATGTCTGTCATCCTCAGCGCAGGGGCCATGATGTAGCCGCACGACCGTTTTTGGCCATGAGATCTGACGATCTCGCGACCGAAAATGGTCGTGCTTCACGCCTATAGGACGGGCAACTCAAAAAAGGAGTTAGCTCAGGCAACGTATCGTCAGGCTCAATCCCAACATCTGCTGCTGGGCGAAAGTTCAGTGCGGTATCTACTCGGCTAGCTCCTATTCACGGGAGTTATACCCGCCGTCGTTATATTTGAAGGGTTTCGGCTCAGTAGGCCACCTATTCCTTGGCCTAGGCAGGTGCACCCCGCCCAACCCATCCAAAAAGGCAGTCACCCAGCCATCTAACCGGTTGGGCTTGGTCCGGTAGGCCCGACAATCCAACCCTTTAGTCGTGGATCTACTCTCGGACCCCTGATGATCAGTTCCTTTAGAAATAACATAGCACTTTGGTCGTGTTCGCCCTTCTACACGCCGCTGCACCCCCGGTGCGGCTATTCTTTCGGTCATTCTAGCCCTGAATCGCAGGGCTTAACAACCGTGCATCCCAATTTTACTCCAAACAATATTTTATTTTAGCATTTTCATCGCGGTCAGTCTATCCGGCCCTATTCAACATAAGAGTGTCAAGTTTCGTCGTTCACTCTTGTCGTTATGTCTGCCGGCAGTTAGACGATTGTACAAAAAATAGATATATTCAATCACGGACGAGTAGGAACATACTCCAGCAGTGTTTCCATTTCATCATACCAAACCTTTTCAAACAAAACTTACGTCATAGATCGGACAACGTCCGCTATTGAAAATACAGGGCAGATACTCTGGTTAGGGTTTTTGCCCCGATACCGGTACTGACCGACATGCGACTGAACCGGTGCTGACGCAGTGAGGAGCTGTAAGTCTTGAGAGCGAACCTTCAGATTCTGGTAGGCACGACGTCCTGTCTACGTCGTTAAATAATTCCTGAGGTCCTTGCTGGCTAACCTTAAGTTGCGGGTTGCCCACCAGCCTGATAGGGTAGCTGTAGTGACACTGTGTGAAGCGAAGAACTCAAATAGGTTAGACTCCAATCTTAATTAGTTAGTTTAAGTGTTGAAGGTTAGGTCTACGTGGTGAGGAGGTGGAGGCTACATACCTGTGCCTTTAGTAACCATGGATGACTAACTACCCGATGTTCGCAATGTTGACCCTGTCCGTGATATGGGGTCCACTCCTTCATTTCCTGTTTCCATTAGGATTCCACTGGACATGCGGCATGAGTGTAACCATGAGGTCTGGTGGGACCACACAACCATATACCGCAGATCAACAACCACAGATCGATAGCAAGTTGGATGAGAAAAAGAAAGAGGCGGAGAAAAAGAGAAAGGAGAAGAGGAAGTTAAAAATAAATTGGAGGCGGCGAAAGAAAAGATTGAGAAAGAGATGAAGAAGAGAGAAGAAGAATTGAAAAAGAAGTAAGAAGTTGAAGAAGAAGAGGTAAAAAAAGGAGGAGGAGGAGGATTGGTCGAGTCCAACCAGAAGGAGAGGAGGTGGTGGAGAGCAGTTATGTTGCAGAGTTGAGACTCCAGCGGGTTAAGGACTTGGACTGGGTAGGGAAATTTGGGTACCAGACTAAGCTTTTGGAAGAAACTGATGAAGAGAGAGATCGATGTGTGGCGAAGTTGACATCAACTAAGGATCCCGAGGAAAGGAAATTGTTGATTGAGGAGAAGAAGAGCGAACTCAACCAAAAGTTGTTGGCCATGAAAAAAAAAGAATTTGAGAAGAAAAGGCTGAAGGAGGAAGGGGAGAGACTCTAGGCAAGTAGAAACTAAGGAACGCTCGAACCTTCTAACCGACACTTTGCTACATACCACCCAGGAACTCTCTGCACTTTAACGAGTCATTGGAAAGGTAGAACGACATCAATAGGAGTTTGAGGGCATCGGGAACAACTACCTTAGTGCGTCATCCAGCCAAGTGGATCATAGGGTCCTACAATATGCATGCCAACTAGATGAAATCTTCACTCAGAAACTAACTAACACCATCGCTGCAGTTAAGATAGGTGGCAGTGGCGGGGTGGAGATGGTTGCGATGATGGGGAGGATGACAAAAAAGGGAAAGATCCCAGAAAGGATGGAGAGAAGAAAGGTGAGGAAGGCAAGTCTGAGGGAGAAGAACGAAGGGAGAAGATGAAGGTAAAACTCCCTTGGACATATACTGGGAAGGAGGAGGAAAGCACTTTCCATTGGGAGGCAGCGATGGATATGTACTTGTACGCACAGTTGATTCCGTATTNCACACACACACACACACACACACACACACACACACACACACACACACGCGCACACACACACAACCGCCCATCGGGGCGAATAAGCGATGATGATTTATCGATGATTCCTTGCACTCCTATTATTGCTTAAAAAGTTAAAGACCCCAGAACCAGGAGAATCATTTAGCTGCTAGTATTTACTACTCACCCGTCGTTGGGCTGGCTGTCAGTCACCCACTGGTAATCCATGTTGGACGCAGCAACTATGATAAGAATGGCAGGATGTGATTCTTCGGTATTGTCACATTTCTCTCACTCCATCAAACCTTTTGGTTCATGTTTCGTCAGCTTTGGAGCTTTAATATTATAATAATATATAATCATCCTGTGTTCGTATGAAGCTGTCGTCCGTCGCTATTTGGATTCCTTTACTTCGGTATTAATCGCTGCATCCGGAGATTTCCTTGGTTCCGTAGTGATCGCTGCAATTTTTCTTATCTACATATGAAGATCCGTTTCCTGGCTCTTTGCAGTTTTTACCTCTTCGGACTTTGCTCAGCTGCGGATCACAAGGAGATCTCATGAATCTCCTTGTCAGGGGAACTGACTCTTGCCTTGATACTTGAGCTATATCTCGAACGAGTATGGTAGGCAGTCTTGTCTTGGAACTGTGCTTCAAGCATCTGTTTGTACAGAATCGGCTGCCTTTGATCGGGATTTAGAATGCTGACATTCTTACTCTGACTTGATGATTGGGTGAACTGGTTGATTGCGTGGGTGGTATAGTATCGGACTTCTTCGCCGTCTCTTTTTCTAGCAGATATCTAATGGGCATAATCCGTCAACAGGGATCTTGTTGCATATTTTGGGGGTATGACCTGTGCGGCTATCTCATCGAGTAGGGGCGAATACTTCGAGAATCCTCGTTGCAAGGAGTCGGTTTTCCTTGATCTTCTTTTCTGGATTCAAACTTGGGTCTGTGTTCCCACAGTTTGTGGTTGTACCAACTGATCTCGCATCGGCCAAGATTCTGGAGTCGGAGCGACGATGTACTTACTCTGGCGGTCTGACCTGATGAGCGGATGAACAGTAGAATGGTTGGTAGATTGCATTCCTCTCCTCGTATGGTTTTGAGCTCTTTTTGCAGGTATCTGTTGGATAGGTTCACAACGAGCGTTTTGCATGAATATAGTGGGTAATCTGGGAAAGGTGCTTTGAGGATATCTTTCTGAGCGGGGTCGGCTTCCTTCTGATCTTTTCCTGCTAGCGTTTTGGAATCGGCACGGCGGTCTGTGTGATGATTATGTTGATTGAATCGCATACTGGAGGGACCCTCAACATGTGTCTTGTTTAATTAGTGACCTAGATATATGATGTTAGCTTGGAGCTGTCATGTCTCGGGACACTGCGGAAGGATTCGAATGGATTACCATTGACGGAGCGTCACCATGTGAGACTGTTTTCACCGTGACCACCTCTTCGGGCAAGGGTGGACTGCTTTCTTTCTTCTAAATATTTTTTGATTGGGTTTATTGTGGAATGTTTGAGACGAAAAGCATGAGGTCATTCCCTGTTCTTCCCTTGATCCTTGTCTCTCTTTCATTCTCTTCTTTTTTTCTTTTTTTTCGTCTGTGTGAATGTCCCCCCAAAACTGGAATCTAATCATGAGGAACGGATGTGAAAGACGCTCCGGAGGAATGTGATTGAGTTGGACCTGGTTCTTGTCAGCTGCGAGGAATGTGAGCCCCGCGGGGAGCCCTTATTATACATACAAGTGTTCTGAGCCGTGGCCGCCCAGCAAGCCTTGGACCGTCCTTAAGTGAAGGCGGGCCTGAATATCGACGTGAGGCCTGTTTTCAACAATTTTTCCATATGTGGGTACTCAGACAGTTGCAGCACACCAGTTGGTTACCGAGCAACGCGAGCCTCCAGGTTCTATCCAGAAGCAAAGGGCTGCGCTGTACAGTTGAGCCCACGGCTCAGGTGGTTGCGCCCTGGGCACACGCTGTGTGAGGCCGACACTGGTTACGGGCCAATGAGGAAGCAGCATTGTTGTCACACGTGTGCTGCGAGCCAATGAGAATGCTGCAAACACTTGGAGGCTGGGTGGCTGCCTGGAAGTGCCAAACTGCACGAGGCCCAGTCCAGTTCAGGAAACTGGGCCTGGGCGCAGACACCTGGGGCCCAACTGAAGCTACTGGGCGCCCCTACATTGCTGGCCAGGACAGCCAGTAGCGGCACACTTTCCATAAAGGAAAGTGTGAGCCCCTGGAAGAGGCATTCTGGCGTTGGCGGGCAATGCGGACACGCTGCTGTGTTGCTGCGCTAGCGTCTGCATTTGCCTGCTGGCCGGACTTGCGCACGGACGCTGAGGTAAGGGGCGCTGCTGAGGCAGCGGACGCATAGCAGCCATAGCCGGGCTGCAGGGGCACAAGGCAGGCGATGGCGAGGGTGGTCTTCGGGTAGGAGGCGCATGATGTCGGCAGACGAGGGGTGATGGCGAGAGGAGAGAGAACGTACCTGGTGTATGCTGGTGGTCGGCATTGGTGTTGGCGTCACGTACGTTGGTCTTCGACTTTGGTGTGATCATGTCGCATGAACGTAGATAGATTAGAGAGGCCGAGTAGAGTAGGCTGGGCGCTGAGCGCCAGACAGTTGCACAACGATCTCGCCCGCGGATTGTCCGTTATGGGTTTAACCCCTTGGCAGTCATCTAAGACAACTCAGAATGGGATGTTGAGCATACTGGGGGGTGAAAAAACCCTTGGCGCGTCGGGCAAAATTACCTGTTCTCCCTGATCACCATCATCATCTTTCTTAATTGCTGTATATTTGGAATCGAAGGGGGGTGAAAACCCCCCCTGGTGCCTCGAGCAAAATCCCCTGTTCTCCCTGTTCTCCCTGTTCTCCCTGATCACATCTTCATCATTCTTTATTCAAGTTTATTGCTTTATATTGGGGGGTGAAAAACCCCTGGAGAGTGGATGACTTGGGCATTCATTGGTCTGCGCCCCTGATTTTTGACACAGTTCTTCGGAGGCCATGCACAGAGCCACTACACTTTGCTGACTCGGGGGAGTTTTGGTCAAGTATGGATAGCCTTCTGAGTGGATGGCCTTTCTAAGCCACCTTATGGGGGTCATCGTGGATTCCTTGCAGTGGGTACGGTGAGCTCAATTCTCCCTTTGGATCTTTCTTTGGATCCATATAGTTGGGCTGCGGAAATTGAATCGATGCATGCATTATCATTTGCACCCTCCCCGAGGTCCTCAACTGCTCTGTGAAGTGGACATGGGTATGCTTTTTCAACGGCGGGGTAGCGTTTCATTCGATGAATATCATGGTGTGATTCGCCTGATAAGAGCTACATAACTGAAACGCCTAATTAGTAGCCTACATCCATCACTGAAACGCCTAATTAGTAGCCTACATCCATCACTGAAACGCCTAATTAGTAGCCTACATCCATCACTTGATCTTAACTTTCAATGCTCTCTTACTCCCTGCTCGTCAATGCGCTTGGTTCGGTTGGGTGCCTTTATTTTTCATTCTTGTTATTTTGTATTTTTTCTTCCTTAGAAATAATAGAAAACCCATTTTTGAAAAAAAAAAAGCAAGCTGCCTTCTCCTCATTTTTTTGAATTTTTTTTTGAAACACCCGAGGTGGTGCTAGGGCTGCTGGTAAGAACAGACACCGCTAGCACTCCCAGGGAGGCTCCATCTATTGATGGGGAGCGGCACCTGCTGCAAATCCAGTCCAGCGTCCGTGGACATTATAATGGTTTTCAGAACAGTGTACTCCTGCCAGCATTGATTGCCCGGGACACCGGGGATTGACTGTACAGTGCTGAGAACTGGGTCTGCGGGTAACTTTCCAACCTAAGGAAAATAAAAGGAAGTAAGGATGATTGCGGGTAACTTTCACCTAAAGAAAATAAAAGGAAGTAAGGATAATTGTGTTGGACAAGTTACGGGCCGCCTCTTCAGTCTGCACTAGACTGCCAGATCACTCGTATTTCCTTTAGCAGCTACGTCCTGTTCCTCAGGCTAGGTACCCGTCTTCTCCATATCTGCCCTGTGTCGCCCATTCAGTCTGCTCTGTACCATTGCATATCCACCATCGCCAGCTGGTGGGGCGGGAAGGGGTCGGGGAATTCTGTGGCAGGTCACAGTGGGATCTCCTGGCCCACAGTAGTCCAGTCTCTGAAACAGATGCGGTAGTCTCTCCTGAATTCCTCCTGATTGTCCTCCTGGGCGGGCTTGCCCTCCCATCTAACAGATGCGATCCAGGCCCCATTCTCACCGCCCAACCAGTCTCCAAAAAATTGGTGAATTGCTTGTGTAACGTCCTTTGCTGAATGATATAAGTCAAGCTGGATTTTCATTTTTTGCCAGTGTACCATGATTTCTTGTTGAATGTATTGCCTTATCATGTTTGTTGCCTCTTCCCCAGTTATGCGGACCCCCTTCATAACATGTATACAGCGCTTCCTCCAGAGGGTCCACATGACCGCTCTCCTTCCTAACTTGAACATGTTTTTTTCGAAGGTATTGTTAGTGGGGGAGGAGCATGCCTCGCATAATATGGTCCGCCAATCCCACGGCCAGTGAGATTGAGTGCCCAACTGGGTCCAGATCTTGTCCCACCATCGCCATGTAAGCACTGCCCCCGGGCACTGCATGAATATGTGCTCTACGGTTTCAGGGATTCTGCGGGAGGGGAAGGTGGTGTGACATGACTTGCACCACGGTAATGCCTGCCCCTTTTGCTCCAGGTATGTGCGATCTATCAGCCAGTCGTTGGTGGGCAAGCAGCGGTGTTCTATCTACCATTGAAGAGAGGCCATCGTCGCAGGTCTAGACTCAGACCTTGTGGCAGTGAACCATCGGATCGGGCGGATTGCCTCAGTCCCTACCTTCAAGTGTGACCCCCATCGGGCCTTCACTGTATCTTTTATGTTCACCTTTGGTCGACCCAGACGGTATGTGGCCCTCACTAATAGAGTGTGCAGTTTTAGATTCATCTCGGACTTGGGTTTTCACATAGGGACCCACTGCTAATCACCAGGGTCCAAGGATAGCTCCATCACGGAGCTGCTTGGTTGGTATGCGATCGAAGCATTTTTATTCCGCAGTACACGTATCTTGTGCAAGTCTGCTGTTCTCCACCATCTGACCATATCTAGGCGGTATCGAGTGAGTTTATTTTCCTTGCGTAGGTGGAAGAGGTTTACCAACATTTTATCTGTTCTTACCTCCAACACATTGTCTACACTTTTCGGATCCTCCGGGTCTCTCTCTCTCTCTCTCTCTCTCTCTCTCTCTCTCTCTCTCTCTCTCTCTCTCTCTCTCTCTCTCTCTCTCTCTCT